TACTTAAATAAATAAATAAAATAAAATAAAAAGCCTTTTATTTCATGCAATTGAGACGTTATTTAACATTGAGTGAGTAATAAGTATTTTTTTTTAAATAAAAAGTCTAAAAGAAAAGTTTTTAACAATCTATAGATTAAAAACTTCTATTGCATGAACCCTCTTTAGGTGAAGTCCTCCTCCAACAATTTCCAATTGTCTCTGCATTTAGCAGTTTTTCTCTAATGTGGTCCCGCTACCTTCTTTATATCATCTTCCCATCGTGTGTATGCTCTGCCTATGCGACTTTTTCCTTGGGGGCCAATCCACGAGGTTACTGTGGATGTCCATCTGCCGTCTTCTAAGCGTGCTATATGGCCATCCCATCAAAGTTTTTGTTTTTGAGCATATTTTTTTTGAGCATATTTTATTGCATCTATAGCTTTAGTTATTTATACTTACTTACATAATACAAAGACACCTCTCGAGTTAGTGTTTGTTTTTAACCGACTTCAAAAAAGGAGGAGGCTGTCAATTCGACTGTATCTTTTTATGTTTGTTACCTCAGAAATTTCGTCTGAGTGAACCGATTTTGATGATTCTTTTTTTTATTTGAAAGCCGGCGCTTCCCATGTGGTACCATATTAATTTCATTGGCATTGGATCTCGGGCTCCGGAGACACGTGGCGAACTCCTGTAAATAAATTATAAAATGAACAAACAGCGAGATATTTGAAGTTGGTTTAGTTTTTCGTTAATAAAAAAAAATGTGTCACATGTTTTTCAAATTAACTAGAAATAACGGATAGAACATCTGAACAACATAGGCGACGTCTAAACAACAAAAGCGAACTTGTGTTGTTTAAACCCTTCAGGACCACAATGTTGAATTTGCAAAATGTTGAATTCATAAAATGTTGAATTCGCAAAATGTTGATTCCCAAAATGTTGAAGTCGTAAAAAGAATTCCTAGGTCTCTCCCAGTTCTACTGCATTTTAAGTAAAGTTTTGAAAACGCAAAATTCTAGAAAAAAATTCTAGCATGCACGAATATGTGTGTATATTGAAATAGTATATATATGTATATGTATATATATCTGTATGTATATGTATGTATATATATATACTAATAGGTAAGTATGATTCTATCAATTTTAAGTAATCGTTAAAACTACGGTTTACTAATTGTTTTATTTTTGTGTTATTTACAATAAACATTAAAAGATATACTATCTTTTGATAAAAGAAAGAAAGTTTAATTTTTAGATAATAATAGTTTGTTTATGTTCGTTCTCGGGGAATTAAAAGCACTTGTTTTATTAACAGTGAGAAGACGTAGTATTTGCAGGTATATTTAAATTTCTTCCCTAGAGCAACACCAACAATTTATGCTATGCTAATTGCTAACTCGAATTCAGGTTAAAGGTAAATTCTTTATTTTATGCCTAGTTTTTTACAAAATAGTAGTTACAAATTTTATACAATATTTCACATTATTAAGGGTACTTTTTAGGGTTCCGTACCAAAAGCTAAAACGGTACCCTATTAATAAGATTGTCTGTCTGCCTGTCTGTCCGTCTGTCACCAGGCTGTATCTCATGCATCGTGATAGTTAGACAGCTGGAATTTTCACAGATGATGTATTTCAGTTGCCGCTATCACGACAAATACTAAAAATAAAAAAAATTTGGGTCTTACAACAGACATGATTTTTTTGCCAATTTTATAGATATGTTACGGAAACCTTTGTGGGCGAGTCCGACTCGCACTTGGCCGATTTTTTGAAATCACTAGATTTGAATAACGCTTTTGTTAGCGGACTGAACCCAGAGAGGGTCCATCGTCCATTAATCTAACGACACTTGTCGCTGTGTTTCATATTATTTCAAGAATATCACGGAAACGACCGCAATGTTTATTGCATTTAACCAAAAAGGTGGCATATTAATTGGTTTCACTTCATGCTGTCCAGAGAGGTAAGTTTCATGTGTTAATAATGAATAATGTTAAAGTATATGTTTTATGTACGCTACGATTATTTGAAACTTTGAGCCGCTTAGCTGATAGTCCGTGTAACGCTAAAACTTAGCGAGTAGTTTATCGAGTTCGTGTAAACTTGTTCGTTTGTAAAACGCACTACTAAGCGTCTTTTACGTTTTAAATACTTATATATATATAAAGGCGTATGTTAATTACTTTATTGATGGTACCTTGATTTTTATGTATATTTTTTTAATTAAAATAATCTTATCATTCCAACATCCTATGCCTATTGTTATAGAACCGTCAGCATTATTCGCCGAGGTTGATATTTCTGAATTCGTCACTTTGTTAAAGATATATTCAAGAGCATGATTATTCTATATCCAGTTTTTCAAGTCGAGATATGGTCAATTATTAACTAAAATGATGTAGCATTGCAAGATTATAATTTAAATGACTTGGGGGCTCCCAATACTCCTCTTAATATTTATTCACCTCATTGATATTAACTACATCAAGTATCGATCATTTGAAATCTGTCGTCACTAATGTCCCTTCCGATTTTTCAGAATCTTCACAAAGTTTAAACGAAACTTTGGTGCTAACTTCTTGCCAAGATATCGAGGATCGCATACACCTGAAATTGACCTCAGCAATAACGTCTAACAACAACTCAGTATCGGCCAAATCATGCCAAATGTTAAGTGGCAACCGCTGCCCAATGACATTTGCAACACAGTTGCTACCTTCTATTAAAGTGGCTCAGGCCACCTAACGCACCAGACGAAACGCAGGGATATAATAATACTACTTCAGGCTGGTCTTTTGTGAGGTTGTGGTATTTTCCCGGACGGACCTACCCGTTCGTGCAACAGAAGATCATGGCGTGGCTCTACCACAGCAAAAAAATATACTCCCCCTGTTATTCAATTTCATCGTCTACTACGTTCAATTCAAACTCTCGCATTATTGGATGTACTTGTGAAGCGGGAACCCAATGGAAGCCTGGCACATACCGTATTCAAGAAACCGACGCATACGGATCGGTATTTAATGGCGGATTCATCACCATCCGTCACAACTGTCTTCTGTGCCACGCACTCTTATTAATCGTGCACTTCGCCAATGCGACTCTCAATTCCTAGAGTCGGAATTGACACACGTGCGGCAAGTGTTAGAGTGCAATGGCTATAGCTGGCGACAGAGTTACCGTCTGGTAAACACAACTAGCAAACAACGGCCTCAGAATTTGGAGCGAGTCCCGGTATATTTACCATATATGCGAGGGGTAACGGATCAAATTGGACACTTGTTACGATGTATCATCAGGACAATTTTCCGCCCCATGACACAGGTAAGAAGGCCCTGTCGTCTACGAAATCCCATGCGACTGCGGCAAAAGCTACTTTGGAGAAACGGGACTCAACATAAGTACTAGGCTCGGCACCTCGGCGGTAGCAGAGCACTCCCTTAAGTGCTTGATCACGTTGACTCGCGGGCGTGGTGGCGGGCGCGGTCATGAAATATCAAACATATCATATGTTTGATAGTTAGTATCCAAGTGTTCACGTAAGAAATTCACGAGCGGCCTAAGTAGCGGGCAAACTAGCGGCTCTCGCGGCGCTCGCGGCATTATCAAATGCTTGAGACGTTTGTGCGTGTTCACGTCGACCTAGCGGCGGAATGCGCTATTCACTCGCGACGTCAGCTAAGTGCAACCATTTTGAACTTTTCGCTAGAAATTTTTCGTTTTTTTATGTTTTCTTTTGAAATGACACTCCTTATTGAATCCAGTATGTAATCAAAACAGTTTACAGTCATTGCGGTATATCCAAAAAAATCTTGATGGATGTTCTCTCAAATTACTATACAAAGTATAAAATTAACCATACCGTTCTCTTTCTTTATTAATTTGTTTCACACCAATTCTAATCTTTAGTATCTTCCACTTTAGTTATGAATTTTCGGTTAATAATATAAGATCGTTGTCCATGTTTTCAACCTCTGAAAACCCGTCACACTCGCGCAAACGTACAGAACGTAAAAGAACGAAGACGTGAACACGAGATCGCGACGTCTACCGCGCCCGCACTCGCCACCATACCCGCACTCGCTGTGATCCTACGTGAACAAGCATTAACTCCGACTCCTCACATTTTATTAGGTTCGATAAGGTGAAAGCGCTAGCCCGTGCGAAGAACTTCGTGTCACGGAAGCTCTTGGAAGCCATAGAGAACGAACACCGGGCCAATTTTAATAGAGTCAAGGGATGGGCTCTGCCGCCTACTTGGAAGCCCGTGTTGTTGAATGCGACACGGAATAAGAACGATAGTGCTAGCGTTGTGTAGTGGACATAGTGAGTACATTTTGCGCTTCCAATAACGCCAATAGTGACACAAGACCAATCTCGCTGGACACGTCATCATCGCCGGCGCAACCCACGCCCCCCTTGACAGGACCATCCCGCGCGCTGCGAGCTCAGGCGCGCAGTGCGAGACGGGGCGCGACCGTGAACTAATCTCACTCACCCTGATGAAGGACATCCGATGAGTCCGAAACTAGTCGGTACATACACCGGTTTTACGTGAGTTCAACCGTATTATTATTAATTGGAAAGTTAGAAAGAGAAAACGTTTGTGTAATTGAATGGTGATTGAACCCAAACCCTCCAGCGTAAGTGGCAGGTTCACTACCCACTACGCCAATAGGGGCGTAGTAGCTTTAATAGTTATTTAACACGGTGTAATAATTATAATTAAAATATTGTAAATTAAAATTAAAGTCAAAATATTGTTATTATCAGTTATCATAAAGAAAATGATACTTGAAGTGAGAATGCAATGGAATTTTACGTCAAGTATTTTAATTAATCTTAAAACTTATATCTAAACAAGGAGGAAGAGAGATATGAACGGTACATATAATTATAATGTACAAACATATCGTTATTTATGTAAACACGTTTACTGCGCATCAACGTAACTAACAATAGCAGCCGGCCTTGCGAGGGCTAGTCAGTTGTCAATAGAGTCTAAGCGATGTCGGACAGTGACCAAACGATTCGCGACCTATTAATGTCAATTGCTGACGAGCTCCACTACGAAAACTGTCACATTCAGCTGCAAGCTACAAGCACTAATGGCGCCAACTTCTCCTCTAAGCTCTACGAGGCAACAATCTCAGCACCCGACAAGCCTGACGTTGAGCTGTTTGCCAAATTCGGTATCATCGGCGAAGAGACAAGGGCAGTTGTCAACATGGATATTTACTCAAGGGAGTTTGTATTCTACAACGAAGTGATGAATGTATACAAATGCATGGAAGAGAAGCACAACATTCCGGAGAGAGACAGACTGTGTCTCGCAAAGTATTACGGCTGTAATAAAGAGTACCTGAAGGAGTCGATTGTGTTGGAGAATTTGTTGAAGAAAGACTTCGAATGTTACGATCGATTAAAAAGCGTCGATTGGGTGTACGCACGCGAAAGTGTTAAGCAGTTGGCGGTCCTACACGCATCTTCTATCGCATACGCCCAAGAGTACCCGCAGAAGTTCGCAGAAATCACCAAGGGGCTGGATTTCGTATACCCGAAAACTTTTATCGAGAAAGCCGTGGATAACGCTCTAGCTGCTGCCAAGGAGGACTACCGCGAGAGGTTCTCCATTTTCCTCAAGGAGAATTTGAAAGGCGACAACTATGAGAGGTTCTTTAAACCAGGTCGAATAACGGTGATGATTGATGGTGATTACAGACCCAGTAACTTGATGCACCGAGTGCTGGAGGTGAGTATCGATATATATTTATTCATGTAACTATTAGTATATATTTAGACTTAGACTAAATATATACTAATAGTTACATGAATAAATATATAGATTAGATATAGATATATTTAGAGTTTGAGGATTCCGTACGCTAAGGGTTAAACGGGACCCTATTACTAAGACTCCGCTGTCTGTCTGTTTGTCTGTCACCAGTCTGTGTCTCATGATAGTAAGGAAATTGAAATTTTCACACATGATGTATTTCTGTTTTAGCTATAAAACAAATACTAAGAGGCATAATATAAGAAATATTTCAGAGGGTTTTTTTTGCGGTTTTTATAGATAATTTTGCTTTATTTTGTTATGGACAGTACGGTAATCATCCTATAAGTTGAGTATTATAATCACTTCCTCAGCTTATGGTAAGTTTTATGAGAGATCTTGGCAAGCGAGGATGGAGTTCTCCTGATATTAAGTGATTGCCGCCACCCACGGACATGAACAACACCCGTTCCTAATCTACTCGTATTATGCTCTTAGTGCAATTTGTAACTTTGAACTCGTTTCCATTTATGCTTGGCCATTTCTCATAATCTGGCAACACTAACAATCTAGTGAATGTGAAGAAAACAGTTTAAACGTTAAAAAGTTAGATAGCTTGTTGTTACCGAATACAGTTTTTCCAAATCATATCCATATCGAACTATCAACAACGATTTGCGATTAGCGAATGTTTTTAACACAAATAACTTAAATGGTCTAGTGAACAAGTTGAAATTTGTGAAAGTTCTCGATAAATTTAATAACGTTCATAAACATACATTATTTTATTCATAAATATAAAGATTACTTTTGATTTTTTTGATTAAAAATAGTATTTAAGTTATTAACGAAAAACTAAATGCTTTTTAAAAAAAAATATAATTATCATGTAGTCACGTCATCGGCGTAGGCCGCTCCTAAACCTTCCCAAATTTCTCGTGCATTCATAGGGGTCCACATCTAAGGTTGAAGATGTCTCCCCGCCTTTTGAGTAGTTATTTTGATACCTTTAAAACGTAAGTACATCTATACGGCTGAATGAACTTTTGTGGGAGCATTGATGGCTTATTTTTAACGATATTTGTTGAAACATACTTAAAAGTCAGCTTGGAGAATTTACGTGAGGTAATTAATGTTTTTATGTACTTAGATCACCTTATCGTATCGTAGTACATACTAACACTATTCAATCAAACACACGGTCGATGCTGAGATTTCAACACCGATGTGTTCAGTTTAAAGTTGTTAAAAACCCTTTGACTTATGTTAGAGATTCGACAGTCCTATATACTGTAAAGTATTTGGAACGCCGAGGCTTTCATTTAGAAACGCGACAAATTACGTAAACTTAGATTCGTGTAATAAGAACGCCGGTCTTCTGTAAGGTCGTGGTACATACCCGGACGGACCTGTCCATACGTCCTGATGACAAAACACCCATTTATGCTATGCTTAAAAAAGCTTTAGTGTAATGCAATATTGGATTTATATCCAGTCCCATACCTGTACACCCCTTGTGCAACTACAAACGAATGCTTATCAAGTAATTCAAGTCAAGTGTTTTCCCGCTTACCTTTACAACATCCATTTCAACTATACTCAAACATTGGTATGAAACTTCATTATTCAATTCCATTTATCACGCTCAAGAGAGCCGTTATCTTACTCGCATTTCTTAATCAAAAGACGCTCGCTTTAAATTCCAGATAAAGAAAGAATTGAAAGATATGCCAGCACATATTGACACTAATTTGTTCAAATTTTGAATACATTAAGTACATACTTCTAGAAAATCTATCAAGAAGATTATTCATTTCAGGATTTTGACCGCACAAAATTATCAGTGGACGAATCACAATGATATTTGCGTTATTTTCTTGAAACTGGCTCATAAATATCACTCAATATTTTTCTTTCACATCAAAAGATTAGAAATATAGCAGTTAAAATAGCGACTGACAATTCAAAACAGGATTATCATTATTTTTTTTGTTTCCATAGAATTCTATCTTGAAATATTTTTAATTTTCACAGAATGGAGAGTTAGAAGTCGCGATACTGGATTTCCAGACCTTTCAAGTAGGTAACCCAATATCGGACCTGATGTATTACATATACAACAGCACCGACGAGGAGTTCCGTCGTCATCATTATCATCAAGCTTTATCGCCATTATGGTATTGCCGTATGTGACGGTAGATCCGGAGGATGTCCCCAGTATCGAAAACAGCCTTGAGCGCGTAGACCAGGGCGTAAAGCCTAGCGCTTTATTCGCAGAAAGATTGAACGGAATCATTAGCGACTACATCAGAATGGGTGTCTTGTGATCAGAGCTCAATGCCCAGCATCTTGTTTTATCGAAATCACAGAAGGCTGAACTCACGTCTAATCACGCATTGAGTGACTGCGTGACTGACTGCGCGACCAAGAACTCATTCCACTCACCCTGATGAATAATCAGGGTGAGTGGAATGAGTTCTTGGTCGTACCTCCGATAGGTCTGAAATTAGTCGGTACATACTCCGACTCGACGTGAGTTCAATCGTTTTATTATTTAGTTAATAACGTGTAAATTTATAGTATTTTAATGTTTTCTAAGTTTAAACAATTTTTATTTATCTAATATTTACAAGATTAAATCGATCTAAAATTATATATTATCTAATAAACCTAATCCCCACGGCATGGTGCCAAGAACGCTAGCTGTATTTCCTTGCTGAATAGTTATGCTTAACATTTGAGCGAGAAAAGAACCACGTAAAGAAGAACGTGTAAATTATTTTGTAGCATCAGTTTATTATACATTCATTTCATTCATAATGAGTATGTTCTTTCGCTCTCTCGTCATCTTTCGCTCAGGCGTCGATTATTCAGTATGTGGTCTGTGTAAAACATTAAGTTATAAGTGGTGTAAAGTGCAATAAACGTGCTACATTGTGAATCTCTGACTTTGGATAAAATATCCCGAACTCCCCATAAATCAATTCTCTCTATTCAATAGCATCATCTTTTCTACTAAAACTAATGTATCTATTTAACTCTATCTATTTAACTTTGTTTACTTAACAAAATTAAATTAAACTACCAATAAGCCAATGGACGTTCCTAGTTAGTTTCATTGTATTAAAACAATTCTTTTGTTGTCACGTCCGTCGAGAAGTATAACTTCTTTACTGGTGGGCGGGCCACAGTCTTCGCTGTTGCACGAGTGAGCAGGTCCGTCTGGGAAAGTACCACATCCTCACAGAAGACCGGCGTGAAGTAGAAGTGTTATACTTCTGCGTTTCGTCTGGTGATTGAGGTAGCCTGGGCCACTTTACCACTGTCGCAGATGCGTTACCACCTATCAATGGTATCAAAATCAAAAATATATTTATTCAAATAGACGCTTGCGCGCTCATATGAATCGTCAAATTTTACATCAAAGATTCGTAAGATATATAGGTTCGTAAGGTACCACGTATCGCATCTGCAACCCTATGGATGCTGCAAATGTGTGGAGGCATACATGGGCGGCGATTATCTTTAGCATCGGTCGAACCACCAACTCGCTTGCCACGTTCTCACATAAAAAAAGTAAAAGGATATTTCCAATTTGTCGCAAGAAGTTATTTGAAAATGATACATTAAAGTGAATGAATGAATGAATGAAATATACTTTATTGTACACAACCAACGGATATTGAAGAATCAACTAAAATAATACAAAACTGTACAATAGGCGGCCTTATCGCTAGGAAGCGATTTCTTCCAGGCAACCTAGTAAAAGGAAATAGTAAAAACAGTAGCATTGGGTAACGGTGTACACTGAATTAATAAGAGAAACTTATAAGTCAAAATATAAATACATATTAATAAATTATACATAAATACACATGCAAACACGATATATAAATATATACGTTATAAATAATGTATAAGTATTTAGATATAAGTTGACAACATCGAGGAATGGAACACAATGATTAAGGAGGCATAAAATGTTTTCTTAAAAGTCGCTTGAAAATAGGTAGGGATTGTGCCCGCCTAATATGTAGTGGGAGAGAGTTCCAGAGCCGAACAGCTTCCACAGAAAAGGATTTGGAGTAGAAAGATGTACTATGGGGAGGAATTCTGAGGATTAAATTGTCATCGGAGCGGAGAGATCGATCTGGGTGAGAATCACAAAGATACTCAAATCGCTTCTTAAGATAAGGAGGGGTGGTTGGATTGAATAGAACAGAGTATAAGAGCGAAAGAAGGTGAGTATTCCTGCGAAGGCGGATTGGAAGCCACTTGAGCTTATTTCGGAATTCAGAAATGTGGTCATATTTACGAAGTCCAAATATGAACCGTATGCAAAGATTTTGGATGCGCTCAAGTTTATTAAGTTGTTCAACGCTTAAGTCTAAGTAACATGTATCGGCATAATCTAGAATTGGTAAGAGGAGAGATTCCGCGAGCGCAATTTTGGTAGGTATAGGTAAGAAGTAACTCAATCTACGAAGAGAATTAACTGCTGCAAACATCCTTCTACTCACTTCACTAACCTGAGGAACCCAAGAGAGAAATTTATCAAACACAACACCTAGATTATTAACCGTATCGCTATATTGCAATTGGACCCCGTCAAAAACTATACAAGGAAGATTAGCCCAGTCAATACGTGAAACCAATCTTTGGCTGCCTATAATAATAGCTTGTGTTTTAGATGGATTTACCTTCAGTCCATAAGAATTGCTCCATTCTACAATGGTGTTTAGGTCTTTATTAACTGCATCTATTGTCATGGTTAAATCTGGTAATTTGGATTGAGCGTAGACTTGGAGATCATCAGCATACAGATGGTAGAGAGAAGTTAAATGTTGAGTGATTGAACTAATGAAGATTGAGAATAGGAGAGGAGACAACACGCCACCTTGCGGTACCCCGGCATTTATCGGACTCCAGTCCGAATACTTCTCCTCGATCTTAATGCGTTGCCGGCGCCCGTGCAAGTAACTGTGAAACCAGTCAACGACCTTAGGAGATATGTTTAGAGAAGTGAGAATGGCTAAAAGTAGCTCATAATCAACATTATTGAAAGCGTTGCTGAAATCTAGTAAAGTCAATACTGTTACACACTGGTTATCCATACCGAACCGGATATCATCAGTAATTTTTACTAATGCAGTAGTCGTACTATGACCAGAACGGAAACCGGATTGAAACGGATTTAAAAGGTTGGATTTGGAAAGAAATACAGTCAATTGTTTATGAACAATGCGTTCAAAAACTTTTGATAGAAATGGTAAAATGGAAATAGGCCGATAATCAGAGAAACTGGAAGGATTCGTTTTTTTAGGAAGAGGAATTATCTGTGCATCCTTCCAGGAAGTAGGGAAGCAACCGCTATTGATGGAATGATTAAAGATGGACACAATGACAGGAGCTAGAAAATCGAGAAGAGGAGTGATCATTTTACGACTAATGCAGTCAGAACCAACAGCATCAGAGCTAGCTTCCATAATACTTCTCTTAACATCACTGCAGTCGATTTGACTAAATACGAAAGCGGGATCATCAGGGGTGGGTAAAGCTAAAATTTTATTTTTAGTATTCTGTTTTAAGGTACTATCAATAGTACAAAATGAGGAAAAATGCTGATTGAGCTTATTTAAATCGAAGGTACTATAATTTGAAGGACATTTCTATTTGCTTTCCCAACCCCAAGGGATTTCAGAAATTTCCATACTCTTCCGGAATCTTTTTCCTCGAGTACAGATTTATGGATATGGCGTCGTTGTTCATCTCTACACAATCTGTTGCATCGATTCCGAATGCTTGTGTATTTAATGCGGTTGGTTTCACTGGCGTTGGTTTTATATTTAGCTTTGGCTATATTCTTTTTGTGTTGTAGCGTTTTTATATCCTCAGTTAGCCAAGGAGCAGGAAGATGTTTAATCCTTACTGGGCGTATTGGAGCGTGGGTATCATAAAGCTTCATTAAAAGAGAGTTAAAATTTCAACCCGTTCATCAGTATTGTCCCCAGTAAGGACTTCAGCCCAGTCAATCTGAGATGCATCCTCTCGCAGAAGATCAAGGTTCATACCACCAAAATTACGTTGGAGAAGAATTCTAGATTTAGCTTTGGGTGGGCGTATTTTATAGGATAAATATAGCAAATCATGGTAAGAAAAGGCATCTGCAGGACATTGACCATGTTTCAATACAAAGTCTACTGAGGAAACTAGAATAAGATCAAGGAGAGATGGAGAACAATTTGGGAAGTTGTGCGTTGCCGATAGAGGAAGAATATGTAGATTTGCTGCCTTGACTAAAGAATTGAGACGGAATGCATGAGAGTCATTTTTTAACAGGCAAGTATTAAAATCACCCATAATAATCGAGTGCTCATATTGTGGGATAAACATGTCTAACAGATTTTCGAGTCCTGTAAAATAATCTATTGTGAGACTAGGGTTATAATACACACCGAGCAGTAATTTCAGGTTGGATAACATAACCTCGATAAATAAATGCTCCGCCTCTGGTATAGCCTGTTCTTGCGATACACTGATCAAGTTAAAAGGTATGTGGGATCGAAGATAAATGCCAACACCTCCGCCAACCCTACTGTTCCGATCATTTCGTATGAGGTGAAAGCCAGGAAGAGCATAAGATGTGGAGGATAAACAAGGTTTTAACCATGTTTCGGAGATTAGGATAGCATGGATGTTCTTGTTATCAAAAGACGAAAGCATATCTGGAAAATGTGCAGGAATACTCTGAGCATTAATATGAACAACATTAAAATTTTTCAGAACATCTGAGAAATGTAAATCAAGGGTTTCAGAAAGAGAAGGGAGACTATGGAAACTGCCGTTACTACTCAATCCATCAGTGGAAGAAAATGAGAAAAAGGAGTCGTCCGAGCTTATATCTTTAAATAACATGAATATATAAACATAAACAAATAATATACTATAACAATAAAATTACCTATATAAACTACTACGCAAATTTGTAAGCTTTTATACCTACCAACAAGTTTTTAGTTTTTACACATTCAATCGAAGTATACACATTGCCAGCAAAGAAAAATAAAATTCAAGGTCATCATAACACGATTAGAAAAAATATATAGAAAAAAAAAAATCCTAATAAACTTCACTATAACATACATATGTATAGTGAAAGATAATATTTTACAACGAACCTATGATAATGAATAGGATGAATGAAGAAATCCCAATCCAATATAATAATAGGCTGTATGGAGAAGTCCCAATCCGTTAGAATATAATAATATAAAATGTCATATCAAGTTGACAATTGACATTGCTTTAAAATTAAAAGTACTTAACCTTAAAACTAAAACAATACATTACAATAAAATATAACAAAAAGAAGTTAAACAGTGCAATGATCATAATAAGAAGAATGTTTTAAGTAAAGGACAAATTCACATTACCGCAATAAACTACTTCTTAATTACTCGCTTGGGGCGCATAACAATAGTCTTAGTATTTGGGCTCTTAGAACAAGATTCTAATATCTGTACTGGTGAATTCGCTGCAAGAGGCTTAGACGAAGACGATGCAACATTTATAACATCAAGCTCGTTTAAAGATTCTACTCGATGGCGAACTCCATCCGAGCTAATTACGTATATGCATCCATCGCGAGTCCAGCAATTTGTCACGCCAAAACGCTTCCGAGCCTCAAGAAATGCACTGTGTCGAGGCTGCGTTAGGAACTCCGACTGTGTGATGCCAGTACCCTTAAACTTAGTTTTCGCGAACCACATTTTGTCACGGACAGAAACTTCGGCGAACTTTACAACTACCGGCCTAGCTCTGCTTTCCGATGTGCGGCCAAGGCGATAGCTGGACTTGATGCTGGTACTTGAAAAATTAGGCAGATTCAGATGTTCAGCAACAGCTGTGGTTACACGACCGATAAGGTCTTCTGATTTCACCTCGGGAATTCCATGGAAGAGCAAGATCTTACGCCTCCTTCGCATCTCCTGACGATCCATTTCCAGTCTAAGAAACTCCATTTGTTGCTGCAGGGTGTTTAATGCGGTTACAATAAAAGTTTTGAAGGACACAAAATCAGATGCTATCGATGAAGTTGTTGCAGATGTCTTGCTAGCAGAGTTCTTTTCCAAATCACGCTGAAATTCGTCCATTTTTGCATAGAACATCTCAGACATTGCAGAAAATGACTGTTTTAGTGAATCCATGCTGTCAGATAATCACTAGTGAATGTTTATGTTAACAAGTGAATGTTAGAGGATTCTATCTTGCCGGTTGGTACTATCACTCAAATGTTCATTATATATGTAAATAAAAATGTTTTAAACTCAAATATTACTATTATTTTAAATTAAAAATATAGAGACTGTTTCTAACATGTGTTACTTATGTCACACCTACCCTCCAAAGTGTGTTTTATTGTATTTTATTTATGTTTTATCATTATAGTGAGAGTTAATATAAGTTTTAATCTCAATTTTCTATGTAAATTTGATACACCGATGTAATGGTTACTTCAGTGTATCGTATTTACATAGCATATATTGGGCAGCAAAAAATGTAAAATCTTCCGTTTGATATCCTAATGTCAAAATTATCTCGTTTAGTGTTTACCTTTGCTTCTGTCTTTAATTTTTGTTTTGCACGCTTAATATTATAAATTATTGTGATGCTACAGTGTCTACGTCAGTTCCATAATAACAATGAAAGCGTTTATAGAAGACAAAGGATGTTTGTCTGGGCCATGATTGAAGAACATTGTTATAGTTACCACGAAAGCTTATATTGTATAATACGATGCTAATCACAAATGTGCAGTAATTTATTGCTAACATAAGCAGTAATCTGGTTTATTATCTATCAGTCTGATTTATTATCTGTCTGTCACGCAACAATCTTTACGCGTCGTAAAATTTTACTATCATAAGGTTTTGCAAACGCGCGAAAAGAAGTATCAATAACTTTAAAAAATGTGACTTCCTTTAGTGTGGTAACCCTCAACGTGAGCTTAAAATTCAGTACACTTACTCAACCACTGCTACTAAACTCTGTGAACAATAGTAAAAAGACTCTATAGCCAACAATTACGCCTGTAGATTTGGAGTTTTCGTAAAAGGGGCGTCACGTATACTATGGGTTCCTGTTATCCCAGATAAGAATGAAAGCGTGGCGCCGTTATGTAAATCAAAGTATTCAGACAATGAGAAACGCGGAGGCTCAGAATGTAATGCCATAGAGTCGTTTTCTATGGCCCCTTATATTCTTAAGTGGGTTGGTAAAGTGATTTGAGCACGTCTATGTATGTGGAATAATATGGGCTTAATTCAATAAAAAATATTCCATAGATTTTTATGGTTTTTTTTAATAACGTAAATTGGTAACCGTTAACATAATTTAATGAGGAACCCATGTAACATTGTTATTATAAGACCGCCAAATGAATGATTACCTGATGTTAAGACCACAAGTCGGATCCAGTGTGGTTCCTGTCTAGCCAGATGATGAAAAGACAATGGAACACCGTTAGTGTTAAGTTTCAAATACCCAACCAAAGAATCCCGTGACTACTAAGTTATAGCATACACCAACAGTAGATAGCAGTATGAGTGATGGTTAAGGAAATACAGATACCATTATTGTGAGATAATTCAAAGTTTTATATAAACCGTTATCAATTGCATTTAATTTATTTTTTTCACAACCATAGTAATGGTAAGAAAAACAAAATTCTTAGTAATTTTGTTACGCTAAAGTAGTATAACTTTTCGTACGAACACATACGTTTTTCGTCTATGTCGTTTCACTTTGTTGGTGGTATATTTTTATCTTTTCACCAATAACTGAACACCCGACCAATAAGTTAACACCTGCATAAGATTTAAAAACTTACTTTTAAATATGTATAGACTAAACACGAAAATTGATTCATAAAAGACAGTTTTGCCTAATTACACTTATCTAAGTTTCATCCCAAGTGCAGAGACTAGCGCTAAAAATTAAATTAGAACACTTCCTTAACGATTAATCATAATCATCATCATCAATTCAGCCTTAAAATTTATAGAAAAAGGACGCAAAGATTGTCGCCACTGTGGGAATCGCACCTACGTCGCGGTCTGACGCTTTAGCCACTAAGTTAAGCGGCTGATTGCCACACCGAAGAAAATTTTAGCGTCTTTTATCTACATTGTTTCTTTAGCATTTGAAGCAATGCTTGTCACATCCTGAGCCACCTGCATCCATTGAATTTCCGCTTATTTGTACAGGTCATCACTCCTTCTAAGACTAATCAATATCATTTTATTTTAATACCAACAACAAGATGGACTCTTCATTTATTATTTCGCTTTCGACTTCGAATGTCACTTTTTCGGCCGAACGGTCTCGGGTTTATTAAACGGCATTGTGTAAGTAGAACACAGCTGTGCAATTAACACACATGAACATGTACTTCAATTGACTCTCTCGCTTATAAGTTGCGGTTCATCATTTCGATACCTAATAGGACTCTCCAAATGGCAAAAAATCGTGTTACATTAAACGAACAATAGCGAAATGCATGAAGCTGACATGGCGACGGATTATTACCAGATAGATAAATAACCACTATAAAATGTATGCCTGTCGGCCAATGTATATAATTTAGTTTAACACGGTGTAATAATTTAAATAAAACTAAAAAAGTAAAGTATGCCTATATAATTATGCCCCACTGCTGGGCAAAAGCCTCCTCTGTGCAGAGGGTAGTAGCAGTTTCATTGGTGCCGGCACAGGGGATCGTATTCGGGTTGCTCGAGTATATTGAATTAAAGGCGAGCGCCCGGACAATGAGCTAACACGGCTCAAAATTATCGTAAATAGGAATGCAATGGAACTAAATATCAGATATTGTAATTTATCTTAAAACTAATATTATTTACACAAGAAAACATATATCAAAATCCACAATAATTATAAATGTCTTGTTTTAAAACTAACATTATCCACATAAGAAAACATATAGCAATATCAACAATAATTATAAATGTAAGTTCTAAACGTAACACATTATGTTAAGTAAACACGTTCACTGCACACTAACGAAACTTCAGGCCTTGCGACTGTTGTTACTGTGTTAGTCAGCTATCGGCCGATACTAAGCGATGTCGGGTTCGGAACAAACGATTCGCGACTTACTGATATCAATTGCTGACGAGCTCCACTATAAAAAGTGCCACATCGAGCTCCGACCTACCTGCACCAATGGCACCAACTTCTGCTCGAAGCTTTACGAGGCGACAATCTCAGCGCCCGACAAGCCTGACGTTGAGCTGTTTGCCAAATTCTGTATCATTGGTGAGGAAACTAGGGCATTATTTAAAAGGGACATATATTCAAGAGAGTTTTTGTTCTACACCGAATGGATGAATATATACAGACGTTTGGAAGAGAAACACAACATTCCGCGGAGAGACAGACTGTGTCTCGCAAAGTATTACGGCTGTAATAACGAGTACCTGAAGGAGTCGATTGTGTTGGATAATTTGTTGAAGAAAAACTTCGGAGTCTACGAGCGATTAAAAAGCGTTGATTGGGTGCACGCACGTGAAAGTGTTAAGCAGTTGGCGATCCTACACGCATCTTCTATCACGTACGCCCAAGAGTGTCCGCAGAAGTTTGCAGAAATCACCAACGGGCTGGGGTTCGTTTACCCGAAATGGTACATCGAAAAATTCGTGCATAACGCTCTGGCCGTTGCCAAGGAAGACTACCGCGACAGGTTTTCCGTTTTCCTCAAGGAGAATTTGAAAGACGAAAACTATGAGAGGTTCTTCAAACCAGGCCGAATCGCCGTGTTGATTCATGGTGATTTCAAACCCAGTAACCTGATGCATCGTGTGCTTGAGGTAATTATCAATTAATGTTTAGACTCTTTTTAATATAAGGCATTTTTCACTGGCCTGTAAATTGAATAATATATATATATATATATATATATATAACTATTGCATTAACGTAACTACGTGACGAGTACAACACGACGAGACTCCTATGCCACATATTTCGTACATGTTTTGAATAGCAAATTAAAAAAATGAATTAAGATACATGTTCTACCTCCCTATTATTTCATATAAAAATTATTTCCTGTTTTGCTATATAATGTTCTGGCTTTTTTTATTTACTGGCTATATTTTGTTTATAAAACGCTGGATATTTTTTGTTGTAATTATGAAGAATATAACTTTGAGACTTTCAAGGGTTGTTTTATGAAAAAAAATATTTTCGAGAATTACAGACTATACAAAATACATATTGAAATACTTTTATTCTGTACAGAATGGAGACTTAGAAGTTGCGATACTGGATTTCCAGACCTTTAGAATAGGTAACCCAACAACGGACCTGGTGTATTACATATACAATAGCACCGACGAGGAGTTCCGTCGAAATCATTATCATCAGCTCATCGATCACTACTACGAAGAGTTGGGCTCAGCGTTGCGCAGACACGATCTTGATCCCGAGAAGATATATTCGAAACAGGACTTTGATTATGACCTTAAAAAGGTAATGTAGACGATGTTGACGAAACATGAAGCCTCACCCTATGTCACCAATGACAATTTTTTTCTTTTACCATGAACCAGGCTGCATTTTAACCATTATGTGATAACAACGGTGGTAGGGCCACGCAGCAGCCTCGGCTGTTGCACGAATGGGCAGGCCCGTCCGGGTAAGTACCACGACTTCACAGAAGACCGGCGTAAAGTGGAAGTATGACAAATACTTTCGCGTTTCGTCTGGTGAGTGAGGTAGCCAGAGCCCAATTTTCAAAAGGTTGTCAACGCATTTGTAACCCTCGGGTGTAGCAGATGTCCATGGGCGGCGGTATTCACTTAACATAGGTGAACCGTCTGCTCGTTTGACAACTTTTCGCATAAAAAAAAAAAAAAAAAAAAAACAAAAGATTTAACGATTGAAACTAATAGTAGAAGTACTAATTGTCTCACACAAAGAGATTGACCTGCTAATCTCGCACCGTTTGTTCAACAGATGCTTCCGTACGGTCTTCTTATCGCCATTATGGTGTTACCGTTTGTGACTGTTGACCCGGAGGATGTGCCCAGTATCGAAAACACCGTTGAGCACGAAGACACGGGCCTAAAGCCTACCGCTTTATTCGCTGAAATGTTGAACGGCATCATTAGCGACTATATAAAAATGGGTGTATTGTGATTAGAGCTCTTGGAGCACCATTCTGTCTTTTAAAATTGCTTCAACAATCTATTTGTCATTTACTAAGATTAAATTGAATTATAAAATGTCTTCGTTTCATTTAAACAATAATTTTGTGATCACGGCCGAACAGTAGAGAGGCAAAAGCATCAATCAGATCTGTCGTAACAAGTTATTTGAAAAGGATATGTGTTTTGTTTGTGTTCTATCATTATATAATCATTATTGGCAGAATGATCATTATTAGGCCGCAAAAATGTAGTTTTCTGGATTTTCAGACAAGACAATTTATACGTACAAACAATAAAGCTTATCCCTGGTTAGTTAATGTTAAAAACATGTACGGTAGTCCTGATGAAACGAAGCAAAATTTATAGTTTAAAATTTTCCGGCGAGCTAAAAGGGAATTCAAGGTTTTAAATAGATTAGGAGGCAGCCAGAAAAGTTTTACCACTTCTCGATTTATTTGCATTCGATTTGTATGCGGGTCTAAATGGGTACTGTAAAATTATTTTTTGATTTTGTTACAATTGAAAACTCTAAATATCATGTTTGTTAAAAATAATATGGGTAGAACCTCGGATTGCAATAGTCATGTACGCTTTGACAATATTACAGGAACCGGAAATTTATCGAATACCGTTCATGTTTTACCGAGCTTGTAAAGTTCCGTACGTGGTTATGATTGAGTCATTTGACCTAAAACGGGAACTCAATTAATCAACTGAATTAGCAGTTACTTAAGCCCAAAAACCAGCCAACTGCAAGGCGGATTCGCGCACGAAGCGCCACCATACCTATAAAATACACCACACCTATCTATAAAAACTGCAAAAAAAAATTATGTCTGTTTTATGGGAGCCTCAAATAAATAATATCTTCTTATAACGTTTTTGAGTATTTGTTGTTATAACGGCAATAGAAATACATCATCTGTGAAAATTTCAACTGAAAACAATCACGGTTCATGAGATACACCCTGGTGACAGACGGACAGACAGCGAAGTGTTAGTAACAGTGTCTCGTTTTAACCCTTTGGGCTCGGAATCCTAACAACTGTACCAGGTTGCAATTCTGGGCTTTCATAGGTAACGAACATCGAACCCGTTTTCAAAGAACGCTCGGATGATTAATAATAGCAGTTGATTGGAAATTATTACGGTTAACCTTTCATTTATTTCAGTTCCAATCTTTCATTTTGTTTTGCACATTATGAAGATACTGTTGTGATATATGGGGAACCCATTAATTATTCTCAGTTGAGTATAATCCTCAGTTCTGTAATAACAATGAAGGTGTTTATGGAAGACAAAGGATGTGTGTCTGCCCATAATTGAAGAACATTGTTATCGTTACGACGGAAGTTATGTTGTATAATACGATGTTTATCACGAATTTGCTACAGCACGATTAATTATTGGCAAACATATTTCGAACATCGAATAGTACATCAATTACTACGTAATTTGTTAAAGAAATATCAACATCAATGGTTATTATAATTTGTGGCAGGCAGTTGCTCCAGTTGGCAGTTTGCGGATCATGAAGGTGTAATAATTAGTATCTTACCTTGTCACATCAAATAATTAAGATCTCGTGTCTGCAATATGACACATTAGGAGCAGAATCGTGTTTAAAAACTTTTCGTATTAATAAAAAATTTGTTACAAAAAAGCGCAACAAATACAAACAAGAATGGTTGACAAATCGTGCAAGTGTTTGTAACTGTTCACTACTTCTATGTATTCGTATTAAGAAAAAGTATTGTCCCGCCACTCTAGCGAAACTGTTTGAATCTATTAACGTTAAGAGTGTTTATACGTTTGTATTTCCGCAATTCTCTCAGCAAGTGCAGTTTTAACTTCGACACCACCATCTCTGGCTAGGCGGTGTTATTGCGAAATTGCATTAGCAATTCATTTTTCGTAACTTCTTGCAGACGTGTATAGCGTACGTTTATAGCGTTAGCGGCGTGATTTAGCCATGAGAGCATATTGTCCAGGTGTTCACTTTATATAATTTCGTATACGCATTTAGGGCAACCTGGGTTCAATCCCCGGAGCCTTGAAATTTAACGTAAAGAAAACTGCATATCTTCGAACATTTCTAAAGTCTGTAAATCCGCAATGGTGTTTCATGATGGACTATGCTGTATATGCTTCATACAGAGGATGGCTTTGCCCACCAGTTCGACATATGTGTGATATGTCTTTCTTACTTAATTTTCCATGGGCCAGAAGAAGAAAGAGAAAGTCGTAGGAGACACCACGTCTTCTACGAATAGCATCATTAATTTGTTATTTAGCATTAACGAAGTCCGCTTTGATTTTTCTTTGTTAATCTAACGCAACTTGATCATTATATTTTTTAAGTTAGAGAGTTGGTGGTTAACCTGATGTTAAGTGATAACCGCCGCAATATATATATATATATATATAAATATCCAAATTTTTTTTGCTCAAAACATTTCCCTCAATTTGCTATATTAATTTAAAAAAATATTACAATTTTGCAATATTTATAATGCGGTCGAGCGACGTATCGATTAAGATAAAAAAATGCATATTGGATCAGCAGAGTTTTTATTAAGAGTACTTAAAAGAAACGCGGTTTGGCATAATAGTTTTATTATAAAAACTGGCAATATTTTTACGATGATCATGTTTTAAGCTAAGTCCACGAAACTCGTAAGCGGTCGTTTTTGGATTCGATTTACTAGTTAACAAGAATAAAACATAATATATATATTAATAGGAAACATATTGTGTGAAAAGAGATGGATAAAGTATGGTATAATGTTTCATTCATTCATAGAATATTCAATTCAATCAATTCATAGAATATATGTAAAATTCACCAACTTAGCACTCACATCACATAATATTGTATTTAATGTGATAAGTACTGGCAGACCTAATAAATAAATAATAATAATAAATAAATAACTAAATAAGTACGAGCGGTACTCACACATATCACGCAATTGGAGACAGTTTTAGCACGCCGTTTGTTAATCATTGCTCCTTCTAGACAAGTATATAATCAAAGGATTTGATTCTTATAGGTTATGTTTGCGAAGCTAACCTAAATTGTGAATATGAATATGACGGGTATTTATGTGAGTCTTAGACGTGCAACGAATAAATATATTTTCTACCGTATTAGCTTTCTTGCTTTTTAAGGATGGATTTCTCTTTTTAATTCGAATTGCTTTAATCCTCGGAAGAGTTACGCGATTAAACTTAAGTTGGGGTTTCTTAAGTTATCTTTTCAATATGTTTCAGATGTATGTCTTTAAAATCAAAATTTATTTATATTTTATAATCTTAACATGCAGTATATTCCCTCTATAAACATTTAAAACTACGCGTGACTTGTGAAACAACCAGTAGGGCGGGTTAGGGTAAATGTGTACACAGCGAAGGCTCGCAAACGTTGAAACATCCGTTTCAGTTTGCTTTTCGGTTTCACAGGTGAATAAATACGTCTTAAATTTCTTCCTATGACAACATTTACTATTTGTCTATGTGTGTATAATTAATGTTCAGTAAACTATAAAAACCAAAATGGAGGAATTCAAGTGCAAAATTAAGGCGATAAATTTCTAAAAACAGTTCTTTTTTAACGATGTATTTCCATAATTACACACACTAAGTTGAAATTTCGATATCGGTACTAAAGAAAATGTCACATAAGTTAAAGGTTAGAATAGGTGAAGGATATAATAATAACTAGGCTTTTGACCAGGTTAAGAATGGCACCAAAAGACGGAACTATAGCCTAGGTTCTGAAAGCGGGTTGAGAACCGACACTTCTGGTCGTTCAGAGGCTCTTTAATTCCTTCCTTCAGGATAGTGCTACGCTAGAGGTGTGAATAGAAGTGTGTTGGCGCTGTCCTTCAAGAAATGTGGTAACGCTCTCTTGAATCGTCTTGCTTCCAGTCTCCCGAATAAGAGGTATTCTTAAAAGGCTTTAGTACCACAGACCACATACACACTATGGGGCAGAGATATTATAAAGAAGAGTGAGTAGTATAATCTGTTTCTATGCCTGGCGTATACGGGCTATGAGAAAGCTTTCGATTCCGCTGCATCTTGGGCGGTACTCCACGACCTTCAGTGGTGTCAAATTGACTGTCGCTATATCGAGATGCTAAAGTTTTTTGTTTTGAGTAAAGAGTTTATCTTCACCACTTTGAAGACGTTTTCAAAATTCTTTCTTTTAACTGTGTGGCCACGCAACAGCTTCGGCTGTTGCACGAATGAGCAGGTACGTGTGCGGGTAAGTACCACGACCTCACAGAAGACCGGCGCAAAGTGCAAGTGTTTTGCTTCGGCGTTTCCTCTGGTAAGTGAGGTAGCTGGCACCCAGGCTAACAAAAGGTGCCAACGCATTTGCTACGGGTATGGCACTTTCACACATAATAAAATTTCTGGACTCGAAACAACGTGGTATTAACGTTCTCGAATGCATCACCCACCGTCGATTTTCCGACAGCATATTGCTCATGGCAGAATCGACATTGTCACGCTTATACTAACGGATTTTTGCAATCTCACGTATTTGAACGTTTAAGTACGTTTCTTATTTTTTAAACATTTTTAATTAATTGTAATCATAAAACAATATTTGAAATTTGCGATTAGGAAAAAAGAAAGTTTTCGAAAAATAAACATACTTTAAAAGTGTTTAAACATTAAATAATATATTTAAAGTATTTTTTGCGCGGTGACGAGCTTATCTCAAACACTTTTTTCCACTTTAATTGTCTTTTTAAAAAAATATTTATATATATAACTAGTTGTTAGTATTAATTCCTCTGTTTTAAATTTTATATTTGGTTTTCTTTTATTTAGATAGTAAATTTTGTGTATACCTAAAAGGCATAAATATAATAACAAGACCTGTAACTTAAGGAAAAATATATAAATGTAAATATATGTTAAATTATTATAATAATAAATATTGCTAATATTTTAATTTTTCTATCTGTGCTA